CCCAAATGGCTTTTTCTCAAATGGTTTGTGTTGAACTTCCCATGTAGTCCAAACCTGTGACTTGAAGCAGACTTGAATGCCTTTCTGGGCTGAGGTGTTATTGATGTCTACTTCAGTTCAAGCCACCTGACACATTTTGTACCATGTTTTCTTGTTTTTGTTTTTAAGGCAGAGTCTTATTCTGTCACCCAGGTGGGAGTGCAGTGGCATGCTCACAGCCACCACAGACTCAACCTTCTGGGCTCAGGTGACCCTTCCTCCTTAACCTTCCAAGTAGCTAGAACTATAGGCACGTGCCACCATACCCGCTAATACCATGTTTTCTAATTGGATGTCTCTTGTAGTAGGAATGACAGACCACAGAGTGAGCAAAAATGATGAGTCCCTTATACCCCTGGGAAGCATCTGTGAATAGCCATGCATGGCCTTATTTTGGAGAGATCTTCATAGTCATCTGAGAGGCTGCATCATCTCCTGTTGGTATTTACTTAGACATTTGAAATGAGCACCCCTAAGACGCAGAGGCGCAAGCCATTACGTTTTGGGGAGGGATGTAAGTTAATGCCTGCTTTCACAAAAAAAATATAGTGTCACTATAAGGAAGCCCTTGTTTACAATTTGGGGAGCTCCCTACATCACTTGAGATGCATACACTGATAGTACCTCCAACAGGGCCTTAACAACTAGCTGGTAGGCCTTAAAGTTCCTGGTTTATTCCAGATCACTGATTCTAGTCCTTGGTTTTGGAGGGACTGCTTGGCTGCGGTCATTCCAGCTTGTCCTGCTCTGCCCACACTGGCAACTGAGTGGCATTCAACTGCCTCTTGCAGTGACTGAGTCTCCAGAAAAGGGGAAGGAATCCAGAGGTATTGACAGGTGTTTTGCAAGGAAGGGTAAGGGGCTGGAGCCAAGGCTTCTCTGGAAAGTTAAGGGCAAAGCAACCATACTGTGCTCAGAGCCCTCTGATGGAGGACGACAGGCCCAGCAGTGGGTTAAATGTAATGGGCCACCGCAGATCATTTCCTTGGTGAGGAAGGCTCTAGGGACAATTTCAGAAAACAGACCGTGAACATTCCTCCTTCTCCTTACCTTTACCTCCCGGGGTCTGAGGTGTTCCCTCCCCAGTTGTCAAGGTGGTTCTCTCTTTACTGCCTCAAAATAAACCGTCCCATTTCTGTAGTTATAACTAACTTCCCAGCTATTCCCTGTATGCAACCAGACCTTCTGTCTAGAATGGTCAGGAGCAAGAGGTACAAGGCATTTTTATAAACTCACAGAAGCCCCTGTGTCCCCCAGAGGTCACCTTAGGAAACTTCAACAAAGTGTCCTTGAGCAAGTGGTCTTATGGTATGATTTAGGGCCAGAGCAGTCCTTCAAGAAAACCCACGTGGCTAAACAGAATTAAGTTAGAATCTTCTAGGGATTCTTTGGCCAGGCTGCCACATGGAAGGAGTACCAGCTAAGCTGTCTGGGGTTGTCATTAGGGAGAGAAAGCCATATCGTGCCAAGAATGGTCGGAGCAGAATCCCAGATTTTCAAAATAGGTCAAAAACCTCATGCAATTATTATTTTGTATTTTTTCTTCATGCCATTTTTAAGTCTTTAATTCAGTAGAATTTAGTTTTATATGTAGCAGGAGCCTGGGATCTAATTTTAATTTTGTTTATGTGGATAATGAGTTACCACTGCACCTTTCTTTCTGAGCTACAGTATCAACTGTCTCACACATCATCTGCAGATATGTATATGTCTGTTCCTGTGCTTTGTCTTCTATTTTATTGGCTTACTTGTACCTACAATGTCCTGGTTACTCATATATGACTTTTTTAGCTCTCTGATTGGGTGAGTCCTCCAACCTTGTTTTTGTTTAAGATGATCTTTGGTGCTCTTACTCTTGGCCCTTGGTGTGTCTATATACATTTTAGGGTCTACTTGTCAGGTCACTGACACAGACACACACACACACACACACGTGCACACATACACAATTACTGCTATGATTGGAATGGCATTGCATTAATGGTCAATTTGGGGAGAATTTCATCTTTATAATATTGAACATTCTAATTTGTGAGCGTATTTCCTATTGAAGGCATTTCTCTATTTTTTGCAGCATTTCCCTATTAAAAATATGATATACCAATGTAGAAAAAAATAACCTTGACCCGACCCTCTATCTCTCACCAGACAAAAAAAAAATTAATTTAAAATGGATCATAGACCTCAACATAAAAGCTAAAATCATAAGGTTTCTAGAAGAAAACAGCGTATCTTTCTTAGATAGTTAGGCAGAGATTTTCTAGAGAAACTATTGAAAGCATGAATCATAAAAGAAATATAGATTAATTATTGGACTTCATCAAAAATTTAAAACTTCTGCTAATCAAAAGACAATGCTAAGAAAATAAGTTGGCGGGCAACCCCTTCGGGTCGCCTCTCACTGTGAGAGCTTTTCTGTCCTCTCAATAAATCCTGCTTCCTAAAAAAAAAAAAATAATAATAATAAGTTGGCAAGCCACAGACCAGAAGAAAGTATATACCACGTATATATTTGACAAAGAAAAAACAGGCTATTAAAAATGGCAGCACATGCCTATAATTCCAGCATTTTGGGAGGCCAAGGTGGGAAGATTGCTTGAGCCCAGAAGTTTGAGACCAGCCTAGGCAACATAGTGAGATCTTGCTTCTACAAAATTAAAATTAAAAAAGAAAAAAATCAAAAAATTAGCTGAGCATAGTGACATGCACCTCTAGTACCAGCTGTTCAGGAGACCGAGGCAAAAGGATTGCTTGAGCCCAGGCAGTCCAGGCTGTGGTGAGCTGTTATCATGCCACTTCACTTCAGCCTGAGTGACAGAGTGAGACCCCAACTGAAAAAAGAAAAGAAAAGAAAATTGGTGGCAAATATCCTGAACAGATACTTCACAAAAGGCCATGCCAATGACCAAAGCACATGAGAAGCTTGGCTTTGTTAGTCATCAAGAAAATGCAACTCAGAATCTCAGGGAAGTAGCGCTGCATACCACAAGGTGGCTAAGATGGAAGGAAGAAAAAGAGACAGCAACAAATGTTGGAAAGAATTTGGAGCCACCAGAGCTCTCACTTATTGTTGAAAGTGTAGAATGGTATCGCTATTTTGGAAAACTGTCATCTTCCTAGAAGGTTAAACATACTGCAATTTTATTCTCAGATATTAATCCAAGAGAAATTAAAACATATGTCCACAAAAAAACCTTGTACAAGAATTTTATAGCAACTTTATTCATAATAGCCCCCAAATGGAAAGAACCTATGTCTTTCAAGAGAAGAATGAATAAACAAACCTGTATTTTTATGGTGGCATGCTATTCAACAGAAAAAGAACCAGACCTTGATACATCACATAACATGGATAAATCTCAAAACCCTTTCTGTGTGAAAAAAACTACAGTGAAAAATTGTGTAATTAATTTTATTATATTTATATTAAATTCTAGAATAGACAAAGCAAAACTGTGTTGATAGAAATCAAATCAGTGATTCCTTGGGGGGAGGTGAGAATTGACTGGGAAGGGACGTGAGGGAAATTCATGGGATGACAGAAATTTTCCGAGTCTTGATAGGGGTGTAGGTTACATGAGTGTGTGTATTTGTGGATCAGATGGTACACTTAAAATATGAACATTTTGCTATGTGTAAAATATGTTTCAGATGTAACATACTGAGTCTCTCTTAATAAGGACTTACATTAGAGTTGATAAACGTAGACAGGTTAGGAAATATCTATGTCACCTCTTCAGAGTACTTCTTTAATAGTTATGAAGACCGAATATTTTCCTTAAATACTATATTTTGGTCAGTTTTGCAGTCTGGAGAACTATTTTTAGGAACTTGGCAGAGTTTGAGAGTAGCTTTTATAAAGATGGAAAAGGGGCCGGGTGTGGCAGCTGATGCCTGTAATTTCAGCATTTTTGGAGGCTACAACGGGAGGATTGCTTGGGCCTAGAAGTTTGAAACCAGCCAGGGCAACTTAGTGAGACTGTGTCTCTACAAAAAGTTTTTTTTTTTAATTAGCTAGACATAGTGGCACATGCCTGTAATCCCAGTATTTAGGGAGACAGGCGAAAGGATTGTTTGAACTCAGGAGTTCAAGACCAGCCTGGGCAACATAGCAAGACCTAGTCTGCAAAAATAAAAAAATTAGCCAGGTGTGGTGGCTCAACTGTAGTCCCTGCTACTTGAGAGGCTGAGGTGGAAGGATTACCTGAGCACAGGAGGTCGAGGCTGTGGTGAGCCATGATCATGCCACTGTACTCTAGCCTGGATGACAGAGTGAGACACCGGCTCAGAAAAAAAAGGTAGAAAAGGTAATCCTTACAGGTTTAGCGGCATTTGGATTTCCAGAACCCCACACTCCAAGTCTGTACTTCAGGTACCATGCTCCAAGTCAAAGGTTCTCAAGTCAAGGATCATTTTGTCCCACAGAATACATTTGGCAATGTCTGGAGAGATTTTGATTGTATGATTGTGGGAGATGAGTGTAGTACTACTGGCATCTATAGAGAGGCCACGGAGGCTATTAAACAACTCACAATGCATAGGAAAGCTCCCTGAAACAAGAATTATTTGGTCCAAAATATCATTGGTGCCAAGGTTGAGAAAGCTTGTTCTAGACCCACCTTTATCACTGAAGCTGAGTCAGTCACAGTCAATCAGATGTTGACTGTCCTCATAGTTCAAAGCGATTGTGGAAACTTGGCATTTTCACAGACTACATATTTCTTCCCTGACAGAATTTAATTTGTAAATATACATAATCTTAAATTTTGAGATAAAAGTCCATGCATTAACAGTACTTCCAAAATCAAAATTATATGCATGCTATAGCTTTTGTTTTTAACTGCATTTCATTAAATGTTTTAAAAATGATCTTAGTTATTTTCCTTTAAAGAAATAAAAAGGCTTTATTTTCAGATCAGAGGAAATAAATGATGATTTATCTTTCCCTGCTTCGTCCACAGAATGACAGGGAGAGAGTTTTTCTCTCGTTTCCCAGAACTCTACCCCTTTCTTCTCAAACAGCTAGAAACTGTAGCCAACACCGTGGACAGGTAAGAAGGGAATTGGGTGGGGCAAAATGAAATCAAGGGTGTGACTGATGTTGCCAATTGAGATTTTCCCTCTAGGAGCTGTTTTCAATGAACTTCTTCCTTGTAACATAGATGACTTTTTATAAAAATGCTTCTTTATAGCTGCCTGTCTCTCTGTAGTGGACTTGTACTGAAGTTATGCAAAATCCTGTCTTTATAGTATGTTTTAGATTTTTAAAATCCTGTTTTTGGTTAATTTTATCAAACTTAAACCCATGTTCAGTGCCTACAAGAACTAATTTAAACATACAGGGTGATTTCTTGTGTTAAGAAGTCTGTGTTTGTACGTTGATTATGCTTAAGGCACACCTGTCTTTTTTCTGCCTGACCTGTTGCAGCATACCATTGTGAAACTGCAGCAGTTAGCTGACTGAACTGGTCACCTGTGATCAGAAATGGTTCTGGTCTACCTGAGCAAAAATGACCAGTGGCCGTAGAAACACAAAGAAAGCCATTAAGCGGGCTTCCAGTTTTCTCAGGGTGATTGAAAGTTCGCAGTTGTCCTCTCAGTCTCATTCTATAGCTGGCAGTGGAATTCTTAGTCTTAGAACATGTGCTTTTGTATTCTTCTAATAATTTTTCACTTGATATGAATGTACATTAATTGTCTAATTGAAAGATAAGTGATATCAATGAACATATGAACATTACTTCTGTTTGTGATGCATTTCCACACATTCGTAGTTTATGCACACATGCTTTTTTGGCCCTAGGAAGTGACTGCCTATTCATATTTTCTTAAATACATTTGGGTTGAAGGTTTCATATTTCATACTCAGAAACGGGCACCTCTCTACTGGAAGAACAGTTCTCATCAAAGCAGCAGGCTCTAATTAAGCAAATGATTAGCTTTGTGTGTGCAAAAGTCCAGTCCTCTGCTTTGCCAGTAGTTTTTTCTCATGATGCACATTGGGAAGAGAGGAAGTAAATGGAGGAAAAAATGAAAAAAGGAAAACTATCCCCTTACTGTAGAGTCTAACTTCATGTACATATCTAATGAGAGAAAATGTTTGAAGACAGTGCCTCACCCCCTGCATTTTGAATGTTTCACGTGTAACACTCTTTTTCAGTGATGTGGGAGAGCCCAGCCGTCATCCAAGCATGTTTCTCTTGCTCTTCGTGTTGGAGAGACTCTACCCTTCCCCGCTGGATGGCACTTCCTCGGCCCTCAGCATGGCACCTTTTGTTCCCTTCATCATGAGGTAGCATGACGCTGTGTGCAGATGGTGGGGTGGATGTGGGGGCCTTGTGGGAGTATTTCATCTTGGTCTTATTTCAGAACTTACCATAGTTTTTGTATTTGGGAGGGGTCTTGTGAAGGCAGGGGCCTGGGGCATGTTGCCATTGCCCCAGCTGGTCTCCAGCGGTTCAGGGGAAAGTGCTTCTGTGGTGGGCAGGAGCTGGTCAGAACCTGTGTAAATCGTGTTTTCCTTAGAGCCCTGCTTGCGCCATGCAGGTGGGCATGGGGTGTTGATATGAAACACACCTTTTGAAAAACATAGCTTAGTGTTTGCATTATCCCTGTCTCGAGCCTGGCCAGCACAGGGCAGGTTTGGTCCTGGTGTGCGTCCCCATGGTTTGTGAGGACATCAGGGCATCTGGCTCTTTACTCCGGGGGAGTCTGCTGGGGGCTGCAGGGGGTAGCATGTAGATGGCAATGCCATGTGGCATGAGTCCCCCTCATCTTCTCTTGCACGTTTGGTGTACATAAAAAAGAGCCACGAATAGGGAGTCCGAATGGAATAGGATCAGGATGGGCCTTTTGGCCTCCAGAGCCTGTTAACACTTCCAGAGTTACAGGCATCTGCTACCTTCTGATTACCAAGTTCATTTTGGATCAGAGACTTCAGCATGTAGGCCTCCAAAAAAGTATGTACTTTCTCTTAGGAAACCTTTTTAGAAGCCTGTCATGCTAGTTAGCTTTTACCTTTCTGCTTACCTCTTGACAAGACATCGCCTTCATTTCTGTGTATCTGCTGAAAATGGAAGTGGACTTGGAGCAGGATAGAACCTAAACTCAAGAAAGTGTGTTTGTTATTTATGTGGCGTCCTGGGTTCCACTTCCTGGTTTCACAGAGCTGACTTGTGCATTTTAATGTGAGAAACCACTAAACACGAGATTCTGGCTTGTGATTGCTATAGCCATTTGTTTGCGCCAAGCCCTGGCTGTGGCTGTGTTATCTTTGATCACAGAGATGACTCACTCAGACTGGTTTTTGTTTCCTGATACAGAATTACCAGTCTCCCTCATCTAGCATTTGGTGATTCATTTTGGGAATCTGGGTGGTAAATTTTACTTTCAGGGGCCCTAAAAATTGTTCTTTCATGAATAACTAAAAGGAACTAAGAAATGTTTTCACCAAGTTGCTGCAAGGGGAAAAGGCCTGTGTGTAGAATCACAGGGTACATTGGACACAGAGATCTGCTGTGGAACCTTGTCATCTGTGCTGAGAACATTCAATTTATGGAAGCTTTTTACTGAGCAATCTGATGTTTATTGCATCCTAGAAACAAAAAATTACCACACTGAAAGTAACCTTCCAAACTTGTTTCATTAGAGTGCTCATATTACTAGTATATTCAAAGTACTTATTATATAAAACAAAGATTGCATTAATATAGAAGATTTAAATATTGCTCTGACGCCAGTGTACTTAGTGTATCATTTTTTAATCTCAAAGCTACAAAATAAGTAATTTACAATCATGATATCTTCCCAGTGAAAATGCTATAGTCAGTAGTTGCTTTCTACCTGAATAAAGATTCATAAAGCACTACCAATAACAGAAGTGCCACAATTGATTTCTTATTAGAGAATCAATAATCTCTGATTTGTTGAATGTCCATGTGTGTTATAAAACAGTGTCTCTCAAACTTAAAGATGTAAACATATCACTTGGGGGACATGTAAATTCTGATTCAGTTGGTCTGGAATGGGACCTGAGTGTCTGCCCTTCAAACAAATTTCCAGGTAATTCTGGTGTTGCTAGCCTACAGCTCACACTTTGAATAGCAAAACCAAATGTGGGCTAAACACCATCAGAACCATAGGCAGGCATACACACATACATGTGCGCGTGCACACGCGTACACACACACACACACACACACACACACACACACACACACACATTTTATTAAACCAGACAATAGGAGGGTTCTGCTTGGTTAGGCTATTCAAGGGTTTTCTGTTTTGTTCTGTTTTTTCTGTTTTGGTTTTTGAGTCAGAGTCTCACTCTGTCGCCCAGACTGGAGTGCAGTGGCATGATCCTTCCACCTCAGGCTTCCAAGTAGCTGGAACTACAGGTGTGTACTGCCATACTCATCTAATTTTTTGACTTATTATAGAGGCCAGGTCTCCCTGAGTTGCCCAGGCTGGTCTCGAACCCCTGGGCTCAGGCAATCCTCTTTTGACCCAGGAATGCAGAGAACAAGAAAATATTCTAAGCAGAGAGGTCAGTAGGAAGTAGACCAACCTTTGTTTAGCCTTGACTTTTATGGGCACTGAACTGGACGTTTTGTTTACAGTGACTCAGCGGAGGTGTCACCAATCCCATTTTCCTGTTAAGGAAATTGAGGTCCAGAGATCTGGAATTTGAATGCAAGAGTTCAGGGCTTGTCGAGAGTATTAAATGTACTTTCTCTGTTACACCAAAATAACCAGCTGCCTTTTGTGCAGCCTTAACTTTCACCATGCTGAGTGGGCCTTGGGGCCTGAAATGTATGCAGCTGAGAGATGAGGAGCCTATAACCACCTTTGGTGCATCTGAGGATAGGCTGTTTTTAGGATGATGCAGAAGTGATGTCCCCACCAAGCGTGGCATCTGCGCCTTCCTTTGCTTTTCCTCTAGGAAAGGTGATGAATTGGAAGGATCCTCCAAATGGGATCAGGCCCACGTGTGGACAGTTGCTGGGGGTTACAGGATTGGTTGAGGGCCAGATACAGAGAAATACTGGCTCTTCTTTCATCACCACCTTCTGTGGTGAAGTGGAAAGCCCTCGATTTAGAGTTTGCTTTGGGTTTCTTCAGCCTACTACAAGGACAACCCATGCTACCCCAGAGTGTTCTCTGGAGAGATGAACAAGACACAGATTTTTCTTTTTAAAATAGCGAATTTGTTAAAAAAAAAAAAAAAAAAAAAACTGTGTATATTTGATTTAAATACCTGTGAGAAAATTACTTCTGAAGGTGTAAGGTTGATCATGAAACCTGTCATTCCAGGCGGTGTTTATGGTTCTGGTCATGGACTGTTTTGATTTGGGGTAGTAGCTAAAAAGACGGACGTAAGCACAGTGGATGGGTACTGTTTTCTTTTTGTAGCATTGTTAATGGCCATGTATGTAGTTGGAAGAGCTCTAGTCAGGCTCATGGCTACTATGAGGTGAGCTGAAGCAAAGTTTTCAGCTTGTGGGAGTAATGCGGAGGTTGCTCTGACTGTGCCAAAGTGTATTGCACAATGTGAAGAGCAAACCTCCACCCGTCATCTGGTTTCCCTTTGATTTCTGTATACTTACCTGCCATTTCCTTCCTCTGTAAGGTGTTTGTGAGTGTCGTGTGTAGTTTTTGTCCTTCACCCCGTGTTTAAGACTATATCCATGCTTATTTCTCTGTTGATTGTCTTTGTGGACTGAAATCTTAGAAGTTGCTGATTTGGATTTTCCAAAGTTGCACATGTATGCCGTTATGATTGTTGCGTCATCTTGGAACAGAAATGATAATGTTAATCTCAACATCTTGTTTACATTTTTTTTTTAATCCAGTGTATTTGATGTGCCTGTTGCTGTGCTGGATACAGATACATAATCTTTTACCATGTGAATATGCTGCCTTTAATTCAAGACCATTCATTCTTCTTTTCAAATACCACAAAGCAGAGCAATCCATGCTTTAGAAGGAACCTTGACTGACTCTGAAAACCAACCAGGGCCCACCTGTCTGGGGCTTTTGAGAGATGAGAACGTATTTTCAGAGACCAAAAGTCTCTGGACATGCATGTCTTTGAGTTCCCTTTCACAAGCAACTTTCAAGTTTCAGTTGAGGAGCTTTGGGTACCACGTATGCCCCAAACCTAGGACCGTGGAGTCCCAAACGAGCAAAGGCCCAGGACTCAAGAGACCTGGTTCTGTCCAGGCTCTGTCACTTAGTCACTAGCTGTAGCGCTTAGATGGGCTGTTCACCCTCTCTGGACGAATGTGGTACCTGTGTGTATACAGGTATCGGTTCAGACAGAAAGTGCCTTCCATGCAGATAGCAGGTATGGTTAATACCTGTGATAGAAATATTTTCACTCCCTTTTGGGGGATACTTTTAAAAGGAGTTCCCCTATCCCTACTCTATTCTTTTTCTTATTTTCATTGCAAATGACTTTCAGTACTGTTCTCCAATCCATCTAGCCATTATTCTCTTTAGACAAGTTTTCAGCAACATCTGCCCTCCC